TATTTCCTTGTCCCAAAATTGTTNTGATGATGATGATAATGAAGATGACGAACACAGTTCCAGCAATCAGGTTCGAATCAGAATATGGAGGAAAACCTGGAACTGGGAGGACTGAGGCGGACCAGTATGCCGAAGAACCGGATGATTAGTAAGGACCCAGTTTTCATCTGCTTCCAATTACCGTTAGGGAAACAGAGGTTAGGGTTAGGACTTAAGTATTTATATTCCAATAGCTAAAATCAAGTATGTAAGTACATCATAGAACTATTCTAACCGACAGATCCTATGGCCTATAATGCATCACAGAAAAACCATCAAATAAAAAAAGCGTGGCCTTCAAGGGACTTGGGCTTGAGCCCCAAACGAGAACTTTTCCACACTTGTCTCACCTGGACTCTTTAAAGCGCTACACCTACACTTGATTGTGTCTTCGAGGCACACTTTTTACAACACTAATTAAAACTAAATCATACTATAGGATTTTATTAAAGCTTTCCCACTAGAAGGAAAAAAAGATTGTTAACCCTAATTATACGACCTAAATAAACATGCCAAATTTGGAGGTTTTAAAACAACATATTTGGTCAGATGTCACTTCATTGTTAGATTGTGCATAAACTAGTTTATACTAATTGCTGACATCAAATTCATTGCAGTTGTTTCGAAGCCTTGACCTAAAATGGGAAGATGGTCTTAAAACAAACTGAAGTGTTCTAAAATAAACCATGAGGATATAGAATGCAAGTTAAACAATCAAAATAGACCGAGGCAAATACATTCAACATTTAGTTGTCTACTTTATACTAGATTCCAAACTCCAAGCTGTCATTGCAGATCGTATTGACATCTCATAAAAAAACAATGTACTTGGCTCTAAACTGGGTTCTACGATGGCGATGTGTCAAAAAAGAGTGCAACGAAATACTGAGGCCATGATCTCACAAGAGTTATTAAAACCTTTCACCCAAAAAAGAAAACAATGACAANCTTCCAATTACCGTTAGGGAAACAGAGGTTAGGGTTAGGACTTAAGTATTTATATTCCAATAGCTAAAATCAAGTATGTAAGTACATCATAGAACTATTCTAACCGACAGATCCTATGGCCTATAATGCATCACAGAAAAACCATCAAATAAAAAAAGCGTGCCCTTCAAGGGACTTGGGCTTGAGCCCCAAACGAGAACTTTTCCACACTTGTCTCACCTGGACTCTTTAAAGCGCTACACCTACACTTGATTGTGTCTTCGAGGCACGCTTTTTACAACACTAATTAAAACTAAATCATAATATAGGATTTTATTAAAGCTTTCCCACTAGAAGGAAAAAAAGATTGTTAACCCTAATTATACGACCTAAATAAACATGCCAAATTTGGAGGTTTTAAAACAACATATTTGGTCAGATGTCACTTCATTGTTAGATTGTGCATAAACTAGTTTATACTAATTGCTGACATCAAATTCATTGCAGTTGTTTCGAAGCCTTGACCTAAAATGGGAAGATGGTCTTAAAACAAACTGAAGTGTTCTAAAATAAACCATGAGGATATAGAATGCAAGTTAAACAATCAAAATAGACCGAGGCAAATACATTCAACATTTAGTTGTCTACTTTATACTAGATTCCAAACTCCAAGCTATCATTGCAGATCGTATTGACATCTCATAAAAAAACAATGTACTTGGCTCTAAACTGGGTTCTATGATGGCGATGTGTCAAAAAAGAGTGCAACGAAATACTGAGGCCATGATCTCACAAGAGTTATTAAAACCTTTCACCCAAAAAAGAAAACAATGACAANTAAATGGAAAAAGTTGATGGTTTGTGGAATCAACTTCATTTCTTGACTTCCTTTTGGGCATCCGTGACTAAGTATTTGAAGATGTTCCACTCTTTAGCATAATAGCAAGTTGGATAGCTTCATGCGGATTGTAATATTACTATTCGTGTTACTATTTGTACTTTTTTTGCTTTTGTTTCTTCTGACCATTGTTGGGGTTGAACGACTTGTCCACCTTAGTTTGGTTTCTTGTAACACTTTTTATTTCAATTATTAATAAAACTATCATTTCTTATCAAAAAAAAAAATTAGTTACACATTACAAAATCCGACAAGGTAAATTAAGCCTCACGACAGAAGACTTGATTTCTCCGGCTTGATCTGGTGTTTTGCAGACCAAAGTTTGCTAACCCAAGAATGAAAAAAAATAAGACCCAATGGTTTTGTCATCTAGTGTATTAATCTGCAAAAGGCGGACAAATAGGAATTGCATGTGCTTGCTAGGATTTTCTCCAATTCTCTACCATCAAATTTGTCGTTGTGCATTGGGGTTTGCCATAGCATAACAATCATGTTATCTATTTTATGACAAAGAACATCCTTTCTGTTTTTTCCAATTCATTAATTCCAATCTTGGAGAAGAAACAAAGCTATTAGGCCGATCCAACCTTTTTATCATCTTTTCTGATTAAAAATGAATATTTTCGTTGGAAGTTCTGTAAAGGTCTAAAACATGAAGTTTTCAATTTTAGGCCAATTAGAAACTAAAACACCTCATATAACTATTGGGGTGTATTTTATTTCTCAAATGTGTGTCCAAAAACAAAATTTCTTGCTTTATTGACAAAATACACAACTAATATACCAAAAGAAATAAAACAACTATAACACTCCATAAAAAGCACACTACTTTTTCATTATGACAGATGAACAAAAAAGACAACCTCTAAACTCATTAGACGCAGCAGCCCAAAAAGAAGCCAAGATATTTACTCCCTCCCATTAAAAAATCCGCAAGCTCAACTCTAACTTACAGATTATGTTATTTCTAACACGCCCCAAAAACACTCCGTAATAAACACAACCCCCAAAAAAATGAAGCCCTTTCGATGTTCATTTTTCTCAAACTCTTCTAAACATTTGACNCATAATAAACACAAGCCCCAAAAAAAATGAAGCCCTTTCGATGTTCATTTTTCTCAAACTCTTCTAAACATTTGACCACGAAACATAATCACATGTGATAGCCCAAACCAACTCCGTCTCCCTCAACTCTTACAAAGCAATAAAGAAATATATTGTCAATATCAACAAAACTCTTACTACACATAACAAAACATTATGGTGAGAGGCAAGCATAAGCCTTTTCCTTTGTATAACAAGTTTTAATCTTCCAATGCGCAGCAAGACAAACAAGCACCAGAATCTTTACAATCATGCCTTCAAAATCATTACATGAGGTTCAAAAATAGGAGGAAGAATCATCAATCAACCATTGAAAACAAGAATTACAAGTGAAGTGACCAAAAATTCAAGAGTCCATAGCATCCTATTGAAGATAGAATGAGCCAATTACATTGAATCAAGATAAAATAACAAGGACAAAAGCTCCACAATTACCTGATCAATAAAATTTCTTAAAAAATTAAAGTTTTCACTTTTATCCCCTAAATATGAATGGATATCATAGTTGTCAAATCGTGATTCGTATCCTGAATCGGAATCCTAAATTTGAGAATCGTGAATCATAAGATTCGACACAAAATTTGAACAAAAATAAAAAAATAATACTACATATTTAAAATAGTTAAAATATTGAATATTGAACATTATTGCATTCTAAAAATAATTAATTGGCAAAATCACGTCATCTAAATGGAAAGACGCTAACCTTTTGCTTCATTTTTATCTTTTGCTTAACTATTTTCAAATTCAACAACTTAAAAAAAAATTCATTAAAGAATTATGGCTATTCAATAACCAAAATAGTGACACCAAGTATAGATTAGGCTAAAAAGAACAAATAAAAAATTGATAGGGAGAAAACATATAAACCAACATTTTGAAACAACAAATTAGAACCTAACAAACTACCCATAAAAGAATTAATAAGCAAAAATCAACCGATAATGCGAGAGCGTTAGCCATGACCTTTAATTTTAGACAACGCAAGGCAAGATCTAGACGACGTCAGAGAGAGAAGGAGTAAAGAGATTAAGTTTTTATTAGAACGTGAGTTCCTATGCAAACAAAACGATGTTGTTTTACTATTTAGTGGCCAAAACGACGTCATTTTGCCAAAAATTTGGGTTTTAAAAAAAAAGGTGATTAAATCATGCAATTCGTGAAATATGAATCAAATCGTACGATTAAGGTGCGATTCGACTCTAGAACAATTCTCATATAAGATACAAATCGTTTTGTCCCTATATCGAACTGAATCATATGAATCGAATCGTGAATCGTACGATTTTGATAACTATGATGGAAATAACTCATACTAGTCACAAAAGCTAATTAGACCGCGATGATCTAAACAATCAAGGAAACAACCGAGTGAAAGATGAAGCTCCTCTACATCTTCCCGAAAACGAACTTCCTTCTCATTTCATACACATCCTAATATGATTGCCAAGAAATTCAAACCCAAAGATGACTTCTAAGGATGTCGGACAAAAATCCATAACTACTCTTGATAGCAGAATTACAATTGTTTCATGCCCAGAACTGCTTCAAGGGTAGAGTGGAGTTGAGCTAATCGCAGATTGTATTCATCTTTTAATTTTTACGAGGTTACAAAGGAGATAACTAAGAGGCATGGACTCGTTTATTACATCGCACTCTACTATGTTGAGACATTGCTTGGTTGGAGTAATTTCTTCCAACCAAGTTCCAATCATAAATCAGCACTCAAAATTTAGTCATGATGAATCTTATAAACATGCATCAAGTTTCTTTTAGATCCTCTTAAAATCTCATACATAAAGCAAGGTATGGTCTCAAATTGTTATCCCTTACATGTCATCATTGCACAAGTTTGTACTAAAGTGTTGCTTATAAACATGAACTAGCTAAGGAAATTCCTCCACTTTTCAATTTGAATAAACAATTTGCTGAAATAGGAAAAAAATTTAAAAATATATAAGAAAACAGAAGCAAATCAAAACAATGTCACCCCAACTAGTGAAGCATCAAATCAAGCTTCAAATGGAAAAGCTTAAACATACATAAAATAGTGTCCAGGAACAACAATTACCATGTCGGGATCCAATATATCGATTGCATATAAACCGGATCTATCTTCGGGAACCACGATACTTGTCTTGGAATCTAAAGACACAGTTTTTCCTGTTACAGATGAAAAAAAAAAAAGACATTCTTCAAAGACTTCTCTGTGTGCGAGGGAGACAAAGTAAAACGCCTAAAAACAACATGTGTGGGTGCAGACACACAATAAATCGCCTATATATTTACATAGATCGTTTTCCCAAAATTATCCCTGATACGAGCATTCTGGCAAAATACCCATTATGATTCACTGTCAGAGTTCATCAATTTATTACAGAACACCCTTTATCACAGGACACACGTAAAGAAATTCTATTTCAAAAAAAATCAAAAAGCAAAACAGGGCTAATCATTCACAGTGATGTAAACAATCAACGAACAAACTAATAGCCTGCTAACATTATCATCAAATTACCAAATCAACCAAAATTAAGAGAAAATCAATACAAATTGTACAAACGACAATATTTTCAATTTTTCCACTTTGGCAGAGTAATTATCCAAAAGAAAGTTTGGAAATTAAAAACTTGCCGATCGAAGGATCGAAGATAGACCAAAGCTTGGTCCTGAACTCACGATCGGCCCCGAGAATCCTTACCCAGACGCGCTCATCTTTACCGTTCTCATCAACAGCCTTCAGTATCGAACCGGCAACACCAGGCACTAAAAGAACCGGATCGAGAGTTGGGTCCACGTAGGCCTCTTGTTTCTTGGTCAGCTTCAACCACAGCTCCACCGATCGAATTATTTCCTCCAGCAACAGCGCCATCTCCAAACCTTATGCTAATTTTGAAGTTGGGATGAAATTTGAAACCCTACTTTTGGGAATGTAGGTGGTAGAAACTTGGGGATTTTGTTGGTAGGGCGACGGAGCGAAGCCGCGAAGGAATCGGACAGTTGGAGGGGCGACTAATTAATAAAAAGGGGACTCAGACTTAAAGATTTATCGCTTAATCACTGTGACATTGAAATATTATACAGTTAATACTTTTATTTCTGCCGTAATTAGTATATCTGTTAAAAAATTATATTTTGATCCCCTAAAATTTATAGTCATATAATATTTAAATATTTTAAGTTTAAAATGTCATATTTAAACTAAAAATACACCAAGTAAAGATAGAATATTAAATATTTTAAATTTTACAACTAAGATAGAATATTAAATATTTTAAATTTTACAACTAAAATTGATGTTCAATTATGATATTTATTAAAATAAAATTAAAACATATATATAATTTTTCTTAAAAAATTATAATTAATATATAATTATACTATCTATTAGAATAAAGCAAAAAATTTAATTTGGTTGTTTAAACAACCAAATTATCTCAATTAAAACTATAATATATTGTATCTATTACAGTTTTACCCTTTGTTTGATTTTTTTAGTTTTATTCCAATCGATAATATAATTGTATACTAATTATGATTTTTTAAGAAAAAATTAATTTTTTTATTTTTATTTTATTTCAATAAATGACATAAAAGAATATGAATTTTAGTTGTAAAATTCATGTTCTTTTATAAATGACTTAGACCACTTGTCCATTACAATATGACCTCTTATTTGATTTTTTTAGTTTTATTCTAATAAATGGGATAATTATATACTAATTATGATTTTTTAAGAAAAACTTAATTTTTTATTTTTTTATTTCAATAAATAACATAATATAACATAAATTTTGGTTGAAAAATTCATGTTTTATTATAAATAATTTAGACCACTTGTTTAATTTTTTAGTTTTATTCTAATAGATAGTATAATTATATACTAATTATATTTTTTTTTTAAAAATAGATTTTTATTTTTAATTTTACTTCAATAAATGTCACAATAGAACATAATTTTTGGTTGTAAAATTTAAAATATTTGATTGTCTATCTTTAATTGAAATATTTGTACTTTAAGTATAATATTTTAAACTTGAAGAGTCTGAGTATTATACGCCTACAAACTTTAGAAGGTTTAGGTGTAAGTTATTAATAGATACTTAAGGTCTTTATGTAATATTTCAAATATTAAAGGATCTGAGTGATTTAGTGACAAACCTAGGTGTAATTCTCCCTGATAAAAATGTGGGGATATTCCCGCACTACAAATATCATTTCACTCTCTATTTAATTTCTTATTATCAAATTACTAGGCATCTCTAACTTTGATTTAAATTTAAGCTCAAATTTAAATTTGAGTAAACAAGCTTAAAAAAACCCTATTTCAACCTTTAACTAAAATTTTATACCAAATAAAGGGAGACTCAAATTTTTACTTAAATCTTTAATGGTGAGATTTTACTATCTTTTAAAAATTTAATGATCATCTTTACTCTCATTTAAGTTTAGGTTTGCTCTGGATTTCTTCTTCTTTAAATTTGAGTTTGTCCATTGAAATCATTTAAATCAAATCAATTTTTTTACTCAAATTTAAATTATCATGTTATACACACGCATTTTAATAAGTAAATTCACATTATATTTTCTCACAGTTAGAGTTTCATTCACTATCTATCACGCCCTGAATTTTTTTTCATTTAAAAAAAAAAATACCTGGACATGATTAAGGAATAAAACCACACATAACTGACAATAACTTTCCTTGTATTATTAAATTCAGCGTACGATTACATAATTTTTCCTCGATCAGCTAAAATATTTTTGATATAGCATAAAAAGAAATAATAATAGTNAAATTCAGCGTACGATTACATAATTTTTCCTCGATCAGCTAAAATATTTTTGATATAGCATAAAAAGAAATAATAATAGTAGTCTCTATGTTCATCGTCCTTTCAATTTGTCCTTCTGCCTGACTTCATATATTTCTAAAAAATGTTAGATAGAGATGAGTTCACCAGTCCAGTAGGATAACATTTATCAAGGACTATCAAGATTTTAAAACAATGCATAATATAATTAAACAGCGGATAAATGCAGAAATAAGGCGAGGTAATGAATTAAATAAATAAATTTCAACACATATCGATCATATCAATCCGTCANAATGCAGGAATAAGGCAAGGTAATGAATTAAATAAATAAATTTCAACACATATCGATCATATCAATCCGTCAATTTTCTGGTCCACGCATGAATAGCCTCATGAGAAAAACTTTGGAGTAACCTTAGGGAACCCAATGCCCTTCTTTCTTTTTTGGGAACACTAATACTGAGAATTATGTGGTGTCACACAGGCTACCACGATNTGAATAGCCTCATGAGAAAAACTTTGGAGTAACCTTAGGGAACCCAATGCCCTTCTTTCTTTTTTGGGAACACTAATACTGAGAATTATGTGGTGTCACACAGGCTACCACGATAAACGATATTACTAACTAATGAACCCAAGGACTAGTAAGAATCTTGTGAATCCTCGCAAGGGTCATGCATCTACTAACTCTCTACCCTCGAATATGTGCGTCTACAGTAATTTCNCTGAGAATTATGTGGTGTCACACAGGCTACCACGATAAACGATATTACTAACTAATGAACCCAAGGACTAGTAAGAATCTTGTGAATCCTCACAAGGGTCATGCATCTACTAACTCTCTACCTTCGATTATGTGCGTCTACAGTAATTTTCTCAAAATCATAAAATAGAATCATATTGTAGTTAGTCCCAACAACAAGTAAAAAAAAATCAAACATTAAATAATCATAAAAAAAATATTTATTATGCAACATGGTTTCACAAGATAATTAAGGTCTCAATATAAATAACAAAAATATAACATGTGCATTATTACGATTTATTTATAAAATCTCAGTTTGACCCTATGATTAAAATGATATAATATTACATTATATAATTAAAAATAAATTTGATATGAAATCCCCGAACATGCATGAAATGCATCAATGATAGTAAAAAATAAAAGAAACCCTACTTCTGACTTGGTNTTTGATATGAAACCCCCGAACATGCATGAAATGCATCAATGATAGTAAAAAATAAAAGAAACCCTACTTCTGACTTGGTTTCTACTCAATACCGAGTACCAAAAATTTCAATTGCAAAAGCGAACTCATAGGTCAACAAAAATTTGACCCATTTTCTTGTTTTCCTCTCTCTTCCTTCTCCTCTCTCTTTGTCCCTTCCTTTCTTCCTCCCTAGTGCACTGTTTGAAGTGCCAAAGGCTGGCTATCTATAGTCAAAGCCTTGGCTATCTATAGTCAAAGCCTTGGCTTCCAAAGTCATGGCTGATATATATATATATATATATATATATATATATATATATATATATATAATTATAGATTTTAAGCATATATTTATAACTGGAATTAATAAAAATTGCTACTAAACTTTTGGCCAAATCAACAATTATTAGAATTATGATGTGAGCAATATAATTATGAGTGTTGTAATCTAAAATTCGAAATAAAGCATGTAAACAATAGTTAGATCATATAACATGCAATTTAAATAAATAAATACATAAAATATATAAACATGCAATCTATATAAACTAAATAAATTAATTTAGAATGAGCTGGCCTGCGAGTTCGAGAGGCGTGTGATCACTATCCTAAAACAGCTGAACCTTCCCACGTGAGGGTACTGACGGACACCAGCGACTTCAAGATCCAACCCAGACACTCGCAGCAGCACCTTTTCAATTGTCACGTCCACTGGAAGGATGAAATGAAACTGACTCGAATCGAGTTGCTCCAAAAATAAAGTAATAGAAGATAATCAGAAAAGATAGGTTAAAATATAAAAGAATTGATATGAGCAAAAAGTCTACTGATATGAGGACTGTAGTATTTCTATTTTATTCACTTGAAAATAATTTCTCAAAAACTTTATATAGCCACTGTGTGTCTAACGTACACACAATGACTATTCAATTTTTCTTTTCCAGCCGTTTGGAACATGATTACTATTCAATTGTTTTCAATTGTTTTGCACATGCTGACTTTCCAATTTCTTTTTGACCATTGGCTACTATGTAACCTACAAATGATATATATAT